AATATATGTATAATTCTTATAAATCTTTCGTTACACAGATTCACTAATCTTTATTTATTCAACTCTATTTATTATTGATATCAACTTTTTAAAGCTTAGCCCAGCATCTTAGCCGCATGCATCTTGGGCTAACAATAAATTGGTAGCTGACTGTGGCCCTCAGAGCAGCATTTCCATTTCCAAGTTGTTATTGTTGTTGTTTGTGTGTTGTTCGTTGACTGTTCGGCAAGTTGGATCGGCAGCTTGGCTGCTTGGCTGCTGTCAGTGTCATTTCTGGCTGCGTTTTGTGGGCACATTTCGGCTGGTTGATTACTCATGTCAATCAGGATTCCAAACAGCGACGACATGCTGTCAATCCTTGTGTCATGGCCGCTGAAGTTGTTGCCATTGGAGTTGGACAACAAGTACGCTTGATTGTGCGGCCCAGAAGGCAAACAGTCCCAAAAGGAGCAAAACGAGACAGCCGAGCAGCCAAGCGAATTAAAATGAAATGAAAAGGAAAAAAAAAACGCAAAAAAAAACCTGTTGCCACAAAGGTGCACATGGCAGTACTTACTGTTGTTATTGTTGTCGTTGTTGTTGTTGATGTTGGATTGATGTGCATTGTATGTAAATTGGGCGGTCGTTTTCGCATTTGATGCCCTGTCAAGGGATAATCAACAGCAGCAGCAGCAGCAACAGCAACCGCTGCAGCCTGCCTGACGCAGGACATCGACATCCACGAATGCAACAAAGGGAACAACGTCAACAACTGCAACTCATTATGCAGACGCATAAAAATGTTGCCCTACCCCTGCAATGAATCGCCGCCGTATCGATTGATGGAAGGTCGCTGCTGTCCGGTTGATTGCTGCTGCTGCTGTTGCTGTTGCTGTTGCTGTTGCTGTTGCTGCTGCGGCTGCTGCTGTTACTACTACTACTACTACTATAACGAGCGTCCAGAAATACTGCGCCAATGTACGATAATTTGCAACGAGAATTTCTCTGACAGCCCCCGCACTTTAATCGGCTTCGATCCGCACTCGAGTCACATAAATTGTTGCCTCCTGACATTTCGCGAACGTTTCAGAATTGAAAACGATGTTCGGCTTGTTGACAGATATTCGTTTGACAGACCGTCAACCGTCAACTGTCATTGCGAGGCGGCGTAAACTTTAACTGGAAGCCAAAAGCCAAAAGCCGAAAGCTGAAAACTGCTTACCGAACACTGAGAGCTGAGAACTGAGAACTAAAGACCTTCGTCCACTAGGGCCTATCGAATCGACTGTCTTGCTCGTCCTGCGCTGACCATTTTCCATTGGCAGCGTCATTATCATTCGTTTCGGACATCCTTAATGCAATTTACTGCATTGCCTTGAATTGCATTTATAGATTGGCTCCGTTGATGATCCATTATGCAGCCTCGTTGCCTTAATCATTTCTCAAACAATGAAGACGTAAAGAATTTCGCTTTGTATTATTTATGATATGTAACGCATAAAATAATTAGCTCTTCCTATAAACATTTAAAACCTATTATAAGTAAAATATGTAAATATGTTTAAAAATGTTAAAATATTCTTAATCTTAATAAGCCGAAGGCCCATGCAGCCAGCGCTTTAAAAATTTAAGTTAGTTTTAATTTTAATTAACTCTAACTCTAAGATAAATAAATAAATAAATTAGCTCTTCGTTAACAGCTTTTCGGTCTATGGGATTTTAAAGAATTTAACTTTTTTTCATATTATCAATAATTAATATTACTTATA